GATATAAAATAAAGATTTAATTAACATAATAATAATTTTTTTAATAAAATTACATTATTATCTTGGGTCCTATATGGTCTGAGTTTTTTCACCCTCCACCCGAACCCGACCCGACATCGCCTCTTAGAAAATCCACCCGACACAAATTTCTTTAAAAAGAATCTGATCCTATTAGGTCAGATTGGGTGGAAACCCTTAGAATTCAGGTTAGATTATCATCCCCAATTATGATAGATATGTTTAATGTAAATAATGTTATATTAAAACTCATACTTGTGGAGACATTTATAATGTAAAATGTTATTATAAAATATAATGTAAAATATTATTATAAAATATAATATAAAATTATGTGATTAATTATGTTACATATATTATAGATATTAAAATATAGTAGAAATTAAATTTAACTTTTATTTTAACTACATCTTAGCAAAAAAAATTATTGCAAGAAAAACATATCTTCTAAAATATTAAAATTAAAAGACTCAAGGTTTCAATATATGTTTAAAAATAATTTCGTATTTGATTTATTATTTTTAATATATTATATATAAATACTAAAACAATTAAATTATATTAGATTATTTCGGTTCTATCAACCGAATGAATAATTTGGTTGGCTGAAATTCATTTTTGATTGATGATTTTTTTTTATAGAAAATAATGAAACTAAGAAATAAAGACATAACAATCACCTAAGCTCATAGCCTCTATGCTCAGCAAATAATACATAAGTTTTTTCCCAATAATGTGATAAAAATTATGACCAAAACATTCAATTATGAGAACATTTAACCAAATCATGCAAATATGAGAAGTTTCCTGTAACACCCTCAACCCGTATCCGACCCGGATACCAGTATGAGGTGTCACATTGACTTTTCAAACTTAAAACTTTTGACGAAAACCAATGAAACTTAAAACTTTTATTAAAATAACATTGTCACTGTACATGAGATAACCAAAACAAGACAAAACTAATCAGAGTATTTGTAAGTAATATTTTTCTTACATGTCAACACACTACATACAACAAAATACATACTGTGACTTTACTTCTGATCTGATCGCTGAGTGGAGATATGTTGATCTGCAAATTCCTATTCTTGATTCTCATGCTCTTCGAAACCTACGTGTAAAAATACTTACACGCTAAGTCATAGACTTAGTGAGGCATAATTACATAATAAAGAATTACTAAAAATATAAACATGCCGTCTACTATCCAAACGCAATTATACTATCATACCATCATATATTATACCACATATGAGACAATATAAATCATAATAATACCATATTAAGATACAATTATATACATCCTCGTTATGTCATGTTTAAGCCCATATACACTATTGAGAACCCAAGGTATACGAGTATTATGAGGTTGTGCACATGTATGCTGTCACCACAGCTCAATAATGTCCCGAAGGACCTATCCAGAGGTCATAAAGATCCTCGGTAACTATCCAGAGGTCATAAAGATCCTCGGTAACTATCCAGAGGTCATAAAGATCCTCGGTAACTATCCAGAGGTCATAAAGATCCTCGATAAATATCCAAAGGTCATAAAGATCCTCGGTAACTATCCAGAGGTCATAAAGATCCTCGGTAACTATCCAGAGGTCATAAAAATCCTCGGTAACTGTCCATAGGTCCCGAAGAACCTAGGTAAACTATCCATATGTTCCTTAGAACATAGGTATACTGTTCATATGTCTCGAAAGACATAGGTAGTTCTTTTACTCTTGGCATGCCAACTATACCTACAGTTCTCATAACTCATATCATATATATATACTGTAACATGTCAATACATCTGCTCATTCATACATATAAACCATAACAAACACATCACACACACTTCATATACCTAATATAGATATCCTATAACTCATTCAATCACATATGACACATACATTCATATATACGCTCTAATCTGGAAAATAGACTTACCACAATCCGCATAGTATATCCCATAATGCATATGGTATGAATTCATATCATCTTTAATAATATTGAATGAATCATGTATCAAGATATTAAATCTAGACTTATCGCAAGTCTAGAACTAAATATACTAACATAATCATGTTATGCATATGCACTCACCTTAGCCTTGTTTGAATTGAATCAATTCTAACCCTTCGATTACTTTGAAGCAAAGTCACGTTCAATATCTACATAATAATACATTGATACATATCAGTATCCAATTAATATACTCTAATCTATCATTTCTTAGACCAAAAGAAAGGTTTATTTCTATTTCCCTTGAAGTGCATCGATGCATTCAACAGTGCATCGATGCATTCTTTAGCATGTGCATCGATGCAGTACCCGTACATCGATGCACAAATCACATTCGATGTTTTCATTTTAAGGGGATGCATCGATGCACTCCTTATGCATTGATGCACCAATTGCATTCGATGTTTCCATTTTAATAGGTGCATCGATGCACTTCCTGTGCATCGATACACACTGAACAATTTCTAGAGATTTACCCTTGATGCATCGGTGCACCTTGAATGTGCATCGATGCACATAGCTCAAAATTCATTTTAAATCCCGAAAATCTACTCAAAACAACTCAAATGATTCATCTTTCATCCCCTTTCATGTTTTTAACTCTTATACACTTATTTAAACTAATTAATACCCATTCAATATCTCTTACACTTCAAAATCCATTCCTCCACATAGAATTTAAGAATTTCACTCAAATTCCCATATGATATAATTCTGATTCTAACCCTTCATATCCCTTAATCAAGTTAGGGACAAGTCAAATTCAACTTCCAATTCTCAATATAAATTTATTTTGATATTTCATTAAAAAACTGCAAATCTTTAAATCCTCCTAAACTCTTCATCTTGTTGTTTTAAAGCAAATTAAGCTTTCCTTAGTCTTACTTAGCATCTAATAATCAAAACTAAACTTAAATTTCAGCACATAATCAGCTCAAGAGAAAACTCACCTTTGATTGGCTTCACACGTGAAGAAGAAGAAAAAAAAATAAGAGAACTCTGGAAACCTCTAAACTTTGTTTCCTTCCTTCCACGTGTATCTATATATACCATATATTATTATTATATTTTTCTTTTCTTTGCAAATGACCATACTATCCTTTCATTCCTCATTATTTTCAATTTGATCTTACACCTCATTTCTCATATAAGTCTTTAAACCACTCAATTATTCTAATTTAAATCACCAAATTTTGAAACCTTACAATTTAGTCACTAACCCAGTATTGAGGATGTTACAAATCTCCCCTCCTTTTAAGAAAATTCGTCCTCGAATTTTCATTACACATACCTTTTAATGTTCTCATGCTCATTTATCTACTTTATCCCATTGCATTTTGTAATCAATGATTTGCTTTCACTTCCAAAGAAACCAATCCATTTCTAATTACCTTATAACCATACCTAATCTCTTATTCCATCATTCTATAACTCAGAACACAACCTTAAACCTCTTCAAATGTTATTAAATGTATACTTTACGAAATCATACATTCTTTTCATAACACTATCTACCATTTCCTTACCCTATATCAACTTATAATTCACAATCATATTCATACACAGTGCGATTCAGCTGTTTCAAATTCAAGAATTCTTGCTTCATTTCCCTGATGAACTTGTCTCCTATATACTTGTGCTTAAACTCTTCTAAAAACAAATACCATGTTATCTGATCATTTGGCATCCTATGAATAACATTCGTCTACCAGATTCTCGCTTGCCCACGGAGCAAAGAGACCATCCCATCTAGTTTCTCCATATCAGAGCAGTGGAGTCCCTCTAACATGATCTTTACATCATTAAGCCAAAGGTCCGCAACAACAGGATCTTATTCGGCTTCACCTTTGAACTCTGGAGCTCCTAATCCCTTTAACTCTTTGGTAACATTAATCCTCTGCGTTGAGGATGCATGAGTTTGGAAACGTGTCAAAATAGTGCCCAACATCCTGAAGAGTACATTTTGATCTTGTACATGCACTCCAGAGGGTGCCTGTCCTTCACCTTGCCTGGCCAGGGCAGGTGAATTACTACTTTAAGCTAATCTATCATCTCTCGCTTCACCCCGAGAGCTATCTTGTCCGGACATCTAATAAGAGATAACTAAATATTTCTATCAGCTAAACAACATACTCATTACTCGTATCAGATCAGAAGTTCTTACTACTGTGTTGGCATGAACACTTTTTAAGACACTATGTACTCCGGTTTATGCTGAGAATCGACTAAATCGTAGCTCTTATACTATTAAATATAACACCCTCAACCTGTATCCGACCCGGATACCAGTCTGAGGTGTCACATTGACTTTTCAAACTTTAAACTTTTGACGAAAACCAATGAAATTTAAAACTTTTATTAAAATAACATTGTCACTGTACACGAGTTAACCAAAACAAGACAAAACTAATCAGAGTATTTATAAGTAACACTTTTCTTACATGCTAACACACTACATACAACAAAATACATACTGTGACTTTACTTCTGATCTGATCGCTGAGTGGAGATATGTTGATCTGCAAATTCCTATTCTTGATTCTCTTGCTCTTCGAAACCTATGTGTAAAAACACTTACACGCTAAGTCATAGACTTAGTGAGACATAATTACATAATAAAGAATTACTAAAAATATAAACATACCATCTACTATCCAAACGCAATTATATTATCATACCATCATTTATTATACCACGTATGAGACAATATAAATCATAATAATACCATATTAAGATACAATTATATACATCCTCGTTATGTCTTGTTTAAGCCCATATACACTATTGAGAACCCAAGGTATACGAGTATTATGAGGTTGTACACACGTATGCTGTCACCACAGCTCAATGAATGTCCCGAAGGACCTATCCAGAGGTCATAAAGATCTTCTGTAACTATCCAGAGGTCATAAAGATCCTCGGTAACTATCTATAGGTCATAAAGATCCTCGGTAATTATCCAAAGGTCATAAAGATCCTCGGTAACTATCCAGAGGTCATAAAAATCCTCGGTAACTGTCCATAGGTCCCGAAGAACCTAGGTAAACTATCCATATGTTCCTTAGAACATAGGTATACTGTCCATATGTCTCGAAAGACATAGGTAGTTCTTTAACTCTTGGCATGCCAACTATACCTACAGTTCTCATAACTCATATCATATATATATACTGTAACATATCAATACATCTGCTCATTCATACATATAAACCATAACAAACACATCACACACACTTCATATACCTAATATAGATATCCCGTAACTCATTCAATCCCATATGACACATACATTCATATATAAGCTCTAATCTAGAAAATAGACTTACCACAATCCGCACAGTATATCCCATAATGCATATGGTATGAATTTATATCATCTTTAATAATATTGAATGAATCATGTATCAAGATATTAAATCTAGACTTATCGCAAGTCTAGAACTGAATATACTAACATAATCATGTTATGCATATGCACTCACCTTAGCCTTGTTTGAATTGAATCAATTCTAACCCTTGGATTACTTTGAAGCAAAGTCACGTTCAATATCTACATAATAATACATTGATACATATCAATATCCAATTAATATACTCTAATCTATCATTTCTTAGACCAAAAGAAAGGTTTATTTCTATTTCCCTTGAAGTGCATCGATGCATTCAACAGTGCATTGATGCATTCAATAGTGCATCGATGCATTCTTTAGTATGTGCATTGATGCAGTACCCGTACATTGATGCACAAATCACCTTCGATGTTTTCATTTAAGGGGATGCATCGATGCACTCCTTATGCATCGATGCACCAATTGCATTCGATGTCTCCATTTTAATAGGTACATCGATGCACTTCCTGTGCATCGATACACACTGAACAATTTCTAGAGATTTACCCTTGATGCATCAGTGCACCTTGAATGTGCATCGATGCACATAGCTCAGAATTCATTTTAAATCCCGAGAATCTGCTCAAAACAACTCAAATGCTTCATCTTTCATCCCCTTTCATGTTCTTAACTCTTATACACTTATTTAAACTAATTAATACCCATTCAATATCTCTTACACTTGAAAACCCATTCCTCCACATAGAATTTAAGAATTTCACTCAAATTCCCATATGATATAATTCTGATTCTAACCCTTCATATCCCTTAATCAAGTTAGGGACAAGTCAAATTCAACTTCCAATTCTCAATATAAACTTTATTTCGATATTTCATTCAAAAACTCCAAATCTTTAAATCCTCCTAAACTCTTCATCTTGTTGTTTTAAAGAAAATTAAGCTTTCCTTAATCTTACTTAGCATCTAATAATCAAAACTAAACTTAAATTTCAGCACATAATCGCTCAAGAGAAAACTCACCTTTGCTTGGCTTCACACGTGAAGAAGAAGAAAAAAAGAAGAAGAGAACTCTGGAAACCTCTAAACTTTGTTTCCTTCATTCCACGTGTATCTATATATACCATATATTATTATTATATTTTTCTTTTCTTTGCAAATAACCATACTATCCTTTTATTCCTCATTCTTTTCAATTTGATCTTACACCTCATTTCTCATATAAGTCTTTAAACCACTCAATTATTCTAATTTAAATCACCAAATTTTGAAACCTTACAATTTAGTCACTAACCCGGTATTGAGGATGTTATATTTCCATTGTTCAATGTTCAAATAATTCAGGTTCTTGCGAAGAGGCATAAACTAATCCCCAATTGTTTTGTTTGTGTGGCCCGTTTTACAGAATCTAAGAAACCTAATTATCCTTTTTGTTCCCTTCACCCACACACATGTATGTGTGTGTATATATTGGAAAAAAAACGGATAAATATCATTAATATCATTTTTATTTATGGTCCGTTTGATTCACGGAAATTAAATTTTGAAAATAATTTTCGTAACATGACTTACATTTTATGAAAAATAAATTTTAAAAATTATTTTACGAAATTTGGATAATATCGTGTAAATTATTTTTCACTTATTGATAAATTTTTTAAAAACTATGTATTACAAATATTGAATACGGTAAATAATATTATTAATTATAAAATAATTAATAATATTATTTTTAAATAGTAAAATAATTCATTTAATGTTATTTATGTAAATAATATTATTAAAATAGTATTTTTATATTTTTATAGAATAAAAACACTTAGACTATTATATTTTATTAAAATTAAAAATTTAAAAATTATATTAATTATTTATTATATTAAAAATATTATATTATTAATTATATTAATTATTTATTAAAATAAAAATATTATTATAATATTAAAATTAAAATTTTAAATTATATTCTGAAAATTATTAGTAATCTATTTTAAATATTTAATAATTAAATAATAATATTTTATGAGAGTAATAAATAAATTAATTTTATAGATAATTTATCATATATTATTAAAATAAAAATAATATCATATATTATTATAATATATTATTTTATAAAATTCTTTTAACCAGGAAAATAAATTACATTAACTTTTTGTTTTCTACTAACCGAACACTAAAAAATAATGAAAATATTTTTCTGAAAGCCAATTACAATAAAACAAAAAAAAAACCCTTAGATTTTAATCGTAAGTCATTTTTTATTTTGATATTCCTCGTTAAATTCAATAGTTCATTTAATAAAATTGTGATATGACATAGTATAATAATAATTTAGTCTCAAAATTTACACATCTTATCAAATTGGTTTTAATACGAAATAATTTAATAAATCTTTAATATTTAAAAATTAGGCCATCTTAGTTTTAATTAAATGAAACAATAAACTTTCTCTTTATGGCTATCTTAGTTTTAATTCTCTCTTGTCCAAGTTCTAGAGGTAGAAGTTATAATTAGGGGTGAGCATTCGATCGAATCGAGTCAAAAATTTTTAAATTATTCGAGTTGATGAGTCTTATTTTACAACTTTGAGTTGACTTGACATTTTTTCGAGTCGATTCGATTTTTCGAGTTTCTGTTTAAATATAATTATAAATATTTATAATATTATAATATTATTTGATTCCAATTTAAGTGATTTTCTATAATCATATATTAAGTACAAATATTTTCTTCATATTTCTTTCATATGTGATATACATATATCATACAAAGTCCAAAGACTCGACTCAAACTTGAAAATAAATCCATTAATTACTAAAAATTTTGAGTTATTCGAGTTGCATTTTACAACTCGATTTGAACTTGAAATTTTTTCGTGTCGAGATTATGAAATTGCAACTCTCAATTCAAATCAAGTTTGTTTGAGTCGAATTGAGTTAAAAAAAATTCGATTTTTCGAATTGAATCGAGTTTTGCTCACACCTAGTTATAATAATAAGGTTTAATATAAAAATAATTACTCAAATTATATCTTAAGTTGACTTTAGGTGTTTAAAGAATTTTTTGTTAAAAAATGTGCATAATATTTTCTATGTTACCCTTTTAGATATCTATAGTAGAAAACGTTATGTGACATATGTCATGTATATTATTTTTTGATTTTTTTTTAAATTAAAATTATTATTAATTTAATAAAAACTCAAATTTTTTTGAAATTACAAAAAACTCTAAAATCCTAAAAGTAATATTTTAAATAAATTATTTCATTATTAAATATTAGACAGATTAGTGGCATAATCTAACATAATAATAATTTTAATAATTAATATTTACGCAATTTTTAAATTTAGTTTTAACTGAAATAATCCAATAAATTTAATCATTTATATTTAAAAATTTAAAAGTGCACGAACCAAACGATATCGGTGGTAAATGAATTATTGTTATTCCTTGAGGCTTTGGTTCGAGCACCAAAAGTATTAGGGGTGTGAACGTTTAATGTCAAATAATTGAGAGTTATCTTTGAACATATACTACCTTATACGTAGGGATGGCAAACGGGCGGGTCGGGTGCGGATACCCCCTCCCCCATCCCCATACCCACCTAATATTTTTCAATCCACCACCAGACCACCACCCATGATGGGTACAAATTTTCAAATCCACACCCGCCCACGCGGGTACATTTTCAAATCCATCCCCACACCCACTACCCACTAGCGACATACCCATCTAGACCTGCCTGACATCAAACTAATGAGATGTTGGAGTTGGTTCCCAGACAGTTCGTGATGGGATAGCAACGCATGCTTCAATTTGTCAGAGGAGTGGCTCTACGAATGTTATGGAGACAGATTGTAGGGAGCATGTAGTCGTACAACTGGATTGTTGAGTTGCTTTCGATGTTAATGCTTATAGTGCGCCTAATATAGGTTTTGAGGTGCTAGAGAATATGGAAACTGCTGCTTTTGATGTTAATGCATATAGTACGACAAACTTGTGTTTGGATGGACATCATGGGCTAAAGAACATGGAAAGTGACGTGGTTAGTGGGATTATGAGTTTAATCAAAGAGTCGAATATTTCCCTAATTAAAGATCAGATTAAAGACTAAATATCCTTAATATTTGGTTAAATTATATGTTATATATTATACAATATTAAAATTTATAAATTAGTCTCTAAAATTACACCTAAATTCATAATGGTCCAAAATTTAATAGATATTTAGCTGAGCGGGGCTGATGCGGGGCGGGTAATGTCTCAAACTCATTACCTGCCCACCACCCACGATGGGTACCACTTTATAAATCCACACCCGCCCATTACCCGCTAAAATTATACCCATCCCCGCTCCAATTGGAACGGATGCGGTGCGGAATCCACGAAACTGCACTCGTTTGCCATCCCTACTTATACGTATCCCAGATTAATAAAAAAAAATTACCAGTTACATGTTATATTATTTTCCTATTACTTTTATGGTATGAAAATAATTTAATAGTTACATGCTACTATTATATGATAAAATATAATTATTCATCAACTGTTTTGATATGATGAGCTTATTTGGTTTGGTTGTATCGTAAAAAAAAATTAACTGTATATAATTTTTAAATATAAATAGTTAAATTTGTTGAGTTGTTTTAAATTAAGACTAAATTATTGGAATGTATAAATTTTGGGACTAAAAATGTTATTATATGAGACTGCATTAAAAGTCCATTTCATCGTTAACTATGCGATGACCTATTTGTAATAATATTTTAATTAAGTGACCTGTTTGTGATCAATTCCGTATTTAAGTGATCTTGAATGTAATTTACTCTAATAACAATGACTCTCCGTCTCGAAATTCTTCAACAAACAAAACTTTGTCAGTACCCTCCAAAAATGGAATCCCGTTTCCCGGGAAAATCTTGCCCCTCAATCAACCCCGAAATAAAATTTACCCCCCCCCCCCAAAAAAGAATCCTTCAGATTTTTATATCCCAACTCCCCATCCCCCAACTTTCAGAAGCTACATCATCGCTTCAAAACCCCAAACCATTTCTCTCTTTCTCTCTCCTTTTCCTCTATATCCCTCGCTCATTCACACAAACGCCGACCCATTGTAGAGGAACATCTCCGTAGCTTTGTTTCGACATCGAGATTACTCGATCTACTGGCCACGATTGCCACGATTTCCGTCGTTGAAACCGCTATCGATATGTCGTTATCATGTTCCGATCGCTTCACGGACTTGCTCTGCGCCGAGGATTCCGACGAGGTGTTATCCGGCGATTCGCCGTCGTTTTCGTCGGAGCTGGAGTCTCCGGTGACTTCCATCGAGGAATCCTCCATCGATGGCTTCATCGAAGACGAAACGAACTTCGTCCCCGGATTCGATTACTTGGCTCGGTTTCAGTGTCAATCTCTTGAAGCGTCGGCTCGAGAGGAATCTGTTGCATGGATTCTGAAGGTACAAACAATCTCTGTTCTTCGATATTACAATAATACAACTGGCGCACGTTAGTTTAAAAGTTTAAAAGTTCTGCTAAAATGCACACAGAAGCCGATTGATGGACGGAGATGATTAATAATTGATTGGCCGGCTGTTACTTTCAACTTTTTCTCTTCCTTTCAAGTAATGCTGATAATCTCTTTTTGTTTGTTTGCAGGTGCAAGCATACTACAATTTGCAGCCTTTGACGGCCTATCTTTCCGTTAACTATTTGGATCGGTTTTTGTATTCCCGCCGCTTGCCGGTGAGCTCTTCTTTCCGCCACCGTTAACTTTTAGTAAAGGATTTATTAGGTGGACAAGGGAAACGGAATCATTAAATTTTCTCTTTTTGATGCAACTATTTGCCTTTTCAACAACAGTAGATTTTTATTTTTGAAGTTTTAACAACAATGAAATTTTGAAAAGGACACGAGTAACTCAGTGATTAATTAAAATAAAACATGTATTTAAGTTTTATGATCAGTAACTTGATGTAAATATGTTCATTGTATTTTTTCAAAGAAAAAGTAATATTGTTTTTCTACTATTCAGCAAAATAGTGGGTGGCCATTGCAACTCTTATCTATTGCTTGCTTGTCGTTAGCGGCGAAGATGGAGGAACCTCTTGTTCCATCTCTTATAGATCTTCAGGTATATAATAACATTGCTTCTTCTATCAACAACAAATTTTTTAGTAAACTTTTAGCAATCGTTAGAAAGTATTGTAATTCCAACAAAATGATGCATTTCTGCAGGTAGAGGGAGCGAAATACATTTTTGAACCAAAAACAATTCAAAGAATGGAACTGCTTGTGCTGACGGTTCTGGATTGTAGACTGCGATCAGTAACGCCGTTCAGTTTCATTGACTTCTTTGCATGCAAGCTCGACCCAACCGCTACTTTTCTGCGCTTCTTGATTTCAAGGGCCTCGGATATTATTTTATCCAATATCAAAGGTACTGCTATCATCATCATCAATTCTATTATATTTCGTTCGGTTGATATCGTATATGATCCGACATTCATATTTATTTTGATGCTGTGAACAGAGGCGAGATTTCTAGAGTATCGGCCGTCAAGCATTGCTGCGGCGGCGATACTTTGCGCAGCCAACCAAATCCCAAACTTGTCTCTTTTCAATCCCGTACATGCGGAGTCATGGTGTGATGGACTAAGCAGGGTATGTTCAATTAACTAATGTTCACACTGAGAAATTGCCGTAAAATTCCATCCAATATGGTAAAACAAAAATCCAAAATTTGCAGGAGAAAATCCTAAGCTGCTACAGGTTAATGCAAGAGCTTGTGGAAGACAATGCGAGGAGGAAACAACCAAAGGTCTTACCACAGCTTCGAGTAACGATCCGAGGCCGAGTCACTCATCTTCCTCATCTTTTCATCACCTTCATACAAAGGAGAATTAAATAACTGGATGATGACAGAAACTGCAAGTAAGAAAAGAAAAAAAAATAGAAAAATGGTGGCCCGAGTTGTGTAGAAACCTAAATACATATATAATTTTGGTGAAGGGTCAGGGTTTGAGAGTAAATCGACATGCAAGAGTATATACGTATGTGCATGTAAAAAAAGAAAAAAGATGAGAGTTTGGCGAGTTTGCAGGTATATTAAACATAATTTGGTTGGTGGAAATGGGTTTGCAGATTCTCGAGGGAGCTGTGGGGGGGGGGGGGTTGTGGTATAGATATTTTATTGTTTTATTGTGATGGGTGGTCCCTTAGGCCGAAAGCAGAGAGAGACTAGGTTTGGCCGATTTAGGGATAAAAAACGTTCAAGTTTAGGGTTGAGTGGATTGTGGCATAGATATTTTATTGTTTATGTGTTTTTTTTTGGCGGGAAATGCCCCTCTTTTTATCATTCATCTTCTTATCTTTCCATGGTTATCAAAATTGGACCGGTTGAACCGTGAATCGGTGGTCTGTCTGGTCCGGTTACCTCATAAAACCGGATTGGCAATGAACCAGCTTAAAATCGATAGAATCGGGGTAAACCGGCTGAAAATCGGTTTGAACTGTCGGTTCACTTTTTTTCTTTTAAAAAAAAATTAAATCAAACGACGTCTTTTGTTCAACGAGCCGAGTCAAATTCCAGTATTATTGAGCTCGACTCGAACTCGAAAACTTTAAAAGTAAGCTCAACTCGACTAAAAAAACTCACGAGCTAATAATTATCAAGTTCAACTCGAACTCGAAATATAATATTAAAACTTGAACTCAAAAAGGCTCGAATTCAAAAAAAATTAGAAATTCAATTGAAGCTTAAAATTTGAGTTAATTGAAGCGAAAGAATAATTCGTTCTGTGCTCTCCAAAAGGCTCCATGATTTTGAATGTCAAATTACCTCTATTATTTATAGAAGTAAGTTGGGATGTTCTTCTATGTTTCTTAGCCATGTGGGATTGTATTGTTCTCATATTTTTACTCTTTAAACTTCTGGAATGCTCTTCTATGTTTCTTAGCCATGTGAGATTGTTTTTTTAAAACAATTAAACCAAATGACATCATTTGTTATGCTTTTTTTAAACCCTAATTTTATTTTTTTGATTATAGTTATATAATTATATTTATTATTTAATATGTTTTACCTTAAATATTATGTTGTAGTTGATTTGAATAATTTTGTTTCACTTGATTTTATGGTTTTTAATTTATATATGTTATGACTTGTGATATTTTTATACATTTTAATATTGTAAACTTAAAAAAAGTGTTACATATATATTAATATTGCTTTGAATATTATGTAAAATTTAAAAAAAAAATTATTTTATATAAAATTCGGTTTAATCGCGGTTGAACCCGATTGAGCCAGTGAACCAGTACCTTCATCGGTTCAATGTCCGATCCGATTTTAAAAACACTGGTTCTTTCTACATGTTACGTCGTGCGTGTGATGGTGACACGTGTATGCATATATATATATATATATATATATATATCCCTCTTTATCTTTTTGTTTTTTTAAAAGTTCCTCTAGAGGAGGAAAATCTGTTTCATGACCAGTTTTTGGTCCATAAACAAATATAAGGTCTTTGGGGCCTTTTTTAAGCTTGTTGTATTACACCCGTGAATAAATAAAGACCGGATTATAATATCATTCTCTCTCGTTTCAAACCACTCTTTACATCCTTTTGTTTTTCCTCTTAATTGACATTACACAATTTGTATGCAAATTCCAAGGCAAAAATTAAATGAACGAAGAGAAGTTCGCGGAGGCATGAGTGAAGGGACTAGGACTTGGGTCCCGCAGGCAATAAAGACGGTTCAATTTCATGAACATGATCCCCCTCATGTCCTGGCCACGGTTGCCAATTTCTCACTGCTCATCGCCCCCATCATGCCAACCTGGTGTCCTCTCTTCCATCTTAAATATCTCCTTCCACATATAAAAAAGGTTTATGCCGACATTACATGCACGGGAAGAAAAAAGTTTTGTTCAATTCGACCAAAACTAGTTTTCTTATACTAAAAAAAGTAATTTTGTTCTCCTTAAACATGATAGGTTCAAATAGTTACTCTACAATTATGTGTTATTAATAATTAATTATTTTTAAATAATTATTAATTTATAATCACTTTAAACTATTTAAATAAAAAAAGTTTGGACAACAATGGCACTATAAAAAGTGGATCATAAAAACTTTCTTTATAACCTTATCATGCCAGTTCACTCCCCCCTCATTACACGTGGCGTCTTACTGTATTGGCCAGGGTGAAAGGAAATCCGACACAAGGTGACGATTATTCAGTAGTGCTATTTTATCCAACTCACTTGGACTCGTTCATAATTCACCTTCTCACCATGTATATTCTTCTTCTCACCATGTATATTCTTCCCCGTAGATTAAGGGATGCAAGGACCACAACCCATTCTCGTATAACAATAATGTCAACTTCATTATTGACATTAATTGATGACCAAATATGGTTTAATACTATATACTTCTATTATAAATGAGAGTGTATATACATGGAATTCCACGTATACCAAAGATTTAACATATTTCACAAACCCAGTGTATTATCAAAACTCTCCCAACTTCCTCATATAATTATCATAATTTCAAAGGATAAGATTTATTCTGTTTTTATAGTCAGTTTCAAACATATTCTATATTTAAAGAGCTGATTACTTACACGTACGCTAACAAAATTATTTCTTAAATTATTTTACCTAAAAAACTTAATAACTAAATAATATTGAACCATTACAATCATAAAAAATATAACTTATTATTCATTAAAACTTGAACCAATACAGAACATTCTCCTTTTTATGGCCAAACCCTAGCTAGCTTTTATTATACTTGTTTTTCAACAGTGTGAATTCGATTATGAAACGTGTCAGAATCCAGTTGAGCAATAAAATTACGAAGAATCCATTTATATAATACTGTGCGAGGGCAGCCATTCACCAATCCTTTGATGGGAATTGGTGCTTTCTCATTGGTACAGAAAGGGTGGGAGCCATGAAGATTTGGGAGTATTATCAACCCAAAAAGACACCATCTTCCCCACTAAAAACGTCACATTATAACTAAATCCAAACATTAATTCGATTACTATATTTAATCCCCCACAGCCAAGTTGGATTAATCCACAAATGGGACAGATAATAGGCCAAGCTGTTGATGAAAATATATTTGAATTTATATGGGAAAATAAGTAGGTGTTAATACTAAACAGCAAGGGCCGTATTACAAAATATCCCTTGAGACTGCATCGGGAATCTTGTGCGCTGGTAATACTAAACAGTTTCATTATATTATTTTAACGACGGGGATGATGGGGTGGAGCGTATAAACGTAACTCTCGATGTGGGGGCATCGATAAAGATGTACCATTTTGGGAGATAGCTTTTAACGAAAGAAGATTTGGAATTTGTGAGCAACCGGTTCCCACCACTATTCCTTCCCTACCCCATTATCATCAAACACCAATATGTTATGGGAGTTTGTTTGTTTTTCTTTCATTTTTCACCATCATTCCACCCTTTAACACCATGTGTTGTTCCATGTTACATATGAATTCAGATAGGTATGTTCAAGTAATTGTGTTGATTTTTATTATTTTTTTTGGAAATAATCATGATAAAAATCGTTATTGGTTAACTTTCAAAATATGTTGTTGATGTAATATATTCACATGTACTTAATCGATGACATGATACATGTCATATTATCACTTTGGATGATGTGACTCATGTCATGTCATCATTTTGATGATATAATATTTGACATATTAACAATTAAATACATATGAAAAAATTATATGAACAAGATTTTCATCCAACAAGAAATATTTTGACAAAAATGAGGTTAAAGTATTTTAAAAAAAAAGAACATGGAGTAAAATAATTATTTAAACAAACGTTGAAGGACTCACTTTGTTATTATGTCATCAGAATAATATTTATATCAGAATATCCCAAAAAAAAACTCTTCCTTTTAACTCTAAAACTGATGTTTAAAGTGAGGAATCCAAAGTATAAAGCCCAGAACCCAAAATTTCTTTTCACCTCCCCTATATATGAAAAGTGAAGGGATAAGGAGGGTGCAGAATCTAGGTAACTCTTTTACCAACCGAGGTCGTACCGTCGTGGGGTTCTCTGTAAAAGTTTCATATTGGACCCCTCCTTAATGCTAAATAGTTCAAAAGCTAGAATGATATGCTGAAATTTCCCAGATTTGGTTTTTAATTTGCTGCTGAATTCAAGACACTGTCATTCCCCTCCAACTGTCCCCATCGAAGCACGCTAAAGGAAAAAGGAGCAGTGTACGTATTACATCTTTGATCATATCTGTAGCCCTTCACATACGTACCTGAGATGAAATCCATATTTTATCTCTTTAATTATGTGAACATGGACCGCCATATATAAAAGATGTTTGTCGTGGTAGAGGTATGGAGTGGAGTGAAGTGTCCGAGAGGCCCTGTTTTGGGGTTCCCAAGTCACAATTCTAGGGGGTCTTTGGGTACTCCCGAGGGAGCGTTGTTGCTGCTCTTTAGTTAGCTATTGTCATAGTGCCTGAACCCCTCGACTCCCAAGAATGGATAACTTAGAAAACATATTGTATGTATGTATAGTGTTCACTTCACATGTCATATGCTTAGGATATTTACATTATCATGGTATAATCATTTAAAATATTATTTATGAGTCGATTAATCTAGATTCAATGAACGGTCTTTTTAATTCAGGTTGTTTTATAAATAATATTAATATTTAGATTCTAAACGTTTTTAAATGAATTAACGTTGCATCCTTATAATCTACCAATAGATCGTGTGTACGAAAATATCTTAATTTGTATGACACTTCTGATCTATTGTTGTCAAGAAAATGTAGAACATTTGGTTGATTATAGAAAAAGGCATTAGAATGTGTCAATTGCATATATATATAGAGATTGGAAACGTCGTGTCTAAGATTTGTTTTCTTTGAAAAAACTAGTTATCACATTGCTTTAATGCACAAGGTCCAGTGGCAGATCTAGAAATTTAAAAATATGATCCAAAATTTTAATTTTTTTCTTAAAAATAATGGGTATGCAAAAATTGTAATTTTTTTCCTTAACACATTAAGCTAAATTTAACCACTTTTCCAAAATAATGGGGATGCACTTGGCCCTTATGGGGGCTTAGTGCATCTGCCACTGCAAGGTCCCTCCTAGGGATGACAATGGATCCTGGATCCGACCCGAATACGTATATCCATATCCGTTTTATAGGATCTGGATCCTAAAATTTTGGACCCTACAGATCCGGACCAGATCTAGATCCTCTGATTAAAATCCGGATCCGAATATAACACTAAGATACCAGTATGGACTCATTTACCCGTTTATAGAAAAGATCACCTTTGATTTTAACATATATTATACATATATGTATATATATGACATAATAGTTTTTAAAAAAATATATAGATATTTTATAGACAAGAGATACATGAGTTCTTATAGGGTTGAGTTCTTATAGGTTTTAAATTCGGCTTATGACAATATAATGTCTCATGATATATATTTTTTAATGTTTGTGTAATTGTATGGAGTTTTTTTTAGACTTAATTTATCTTTTTTATTATGTTGCTAGTTTTATTGAAATTAATCTTTCCTCCATTGGAGATGCAATGTGAAATTAGTCAATAACAATTTTATTATGTTAAAAAATAGGTCGAATTGTCGTTTTTGAACATACCCATTTTGAACATGTTTTAGACACGAATCCTTGAGATCTGTTGGATCTGGATATGGGTCTCAATTTTCTAGACCCGCATATCCGGGACAGGTCTGGATCCAAGAAATAAAAATGGATCTAAATTTGGGTCTAGTTCGATCTGGTTCAAATCCGGCCCGCTGCGATCCCTACTCCCTCCATTTGCAACACACCCTTTTCCACTACCTTTTGAATTTTGTTTAAACACTTTCTGCCTTCTAATTGGGTTTTAAATTGACTTGTTTTAAATTTGTTGAATTAAAAATTATAATTATTTAAATAAAAGTATTATCAAGTGAAAGAAAAATGAGATTATTATCTGTATCCCAATAATAGAAATGGGCGAAGTATTTCAGGTTTGGCAATTGACACCCAAGCCTAGACCACCTACAACACCTACCTAATTGGGCTCAAGTTATTACATATACAAATGGGTTGTAACTTTATCAGTTGTGTTGAACAAAATAAGCCTAAATGGCCCCAATCGACATATTGCAATTAGGGGTGTTCAAAAATAGTTGATCTGATCTGTCGATCAGGTAATAAATTGGGCTATTCTTTTATTAAAAAAAATTCAAGTTTTCTATCTTTAACCGGCTCGACAATTATCGGGTCGGGTCCGGATTACAAAATTAATTTTTTTCAGGTATCCGATTATATTTATTTATATATATATATTACTATTACATATTTAATTATTAATTTTTTTTAATTAATATGGGATAAGTACAAGGCAATATTTATTCAAAGATAAATTCTCAACTTTTTGACATAGATTGCTCATACCCTAACATTTATGGTGCTCTAATCCAGGTCCTCAAAAATAACAATAATTCTTTCATTACGGAGACTATTTGGTTTGTTCTTAATTTAAACTAATAATTTATATATTAAATTAAACTAATAAAATTTAAAAAAAAAACTCCCAAAAAAATTACTTTTAAATTTTATGTTTAAATGTTAGAGTATGTAATTCAAATATTTAAATTTGAGTATTTTTTAAAATTAATAATTTGAAAATGATAAAAAATCGAATACCCTATTATCCGAATTGCGGATACCCGTAAAATCCACGTATCCGATTATCGGGTACCCATAACACTTGGACTGAAACACACGCCGACTAATCAAGTACCCGAGGACCCAGGTATCCGGAACTTCGAGTACCCGAAGACCCGAGTACTCGGATTTGATCACCCTTGATTGCAACCTTGAAGGAGGGTAGAGTGTACATGATAGCCGGTGCAGTGATGAACGGCAGCTGTTGTTTTAGAAGGGCGGTGTGTTGGGAAAGAGACACAGGTGAAGGCTCGGGTGACATCGAAAACACGTTGACCAAATATGGAGAGAAGGGAATAGAGCAGCCAATTGTTTGGCCAGATTGGCGCTTGAAAAACCTGAGGGTCTTCACGAGCTTGATGAACCGCCGGGGGAGATAGCAACAAATCTCCACTCTGATAGATTAGGAATACATTTTCTCAGGAAGTAATTGTGCTTCGAGACGTTTCGTCTACTGTACCCAAAAAAATTATGATTATTTGTTTTGAAGAAATAAGAAGTAATTAAATTTCAGGGTAAATTATATATTTAGTACTTAAACTATCATTTTTATCTATTTTAGTATTTTAAACTTTTAATTTTTTTAAAAATCATGTCTAATGTTTAGTTTTTATTTCATTTTAGTATCTTACTATTAAAACTTTAACGCACTTAATATTTAAACTATCAATTTTGGTTTGTTTTAGTAACTAAACTTTAGTTTTTTTCAAAGTTAGCGTTAAGTTTTTAACGGAGGTATTAAAAAGAAACAAAAATTAAACTTTAGGTATGATTTTGAAAAAATTAAAAGATTAAGTATCAAAACAGATCAAACTGATAGTTTAGATACTCAATGCATAATTTACCCTAAATTTTTTCACGTATAATGTAATCATTATGACAAATCTAAGTTACCATCTTCATTCATATGAGTGAATTTCTATTTTTTAATTTCCTCCATATTTTTGGGGTCTTCATGATGAAACTGTTATTGATTACCACTCTCAAACCCAATCAGATCTTTACAAGACATAACCCGAAAAACAAAACAATATTAGCTTGCAGACTCAGAGATGCTCTGTAATGAAGGCCGCCATGATTTTGAGCTCATCGCCGGCGCTTTACTCGGGCGTCGTCCTTCATGCTCCGTCGTCACCTGCGTCTGCAAGTTCCCTTGTTCATGCTCCAACTTTTCATTTGATTTCAGGAGTTGTTGTTGCCTCTTCGTTTTCGCATATTTCTTCGCCTTCAGAACCTCCATAACCTCTGCAAAACACACAAACCATCAGTCTCTTAATCAAAAACAAGTAAAAGAAAAAGGAACATGAAGCAATAATCAGGGTCCGGTGAAAAAAAAAGACCTTGAGAAGTGATGAGCCGATAAGCATGGCCGAGGGCGAGCCTATCACGAGGACGAAGAAGCTTGACGCGAGTGAAACGCGCCGCCTTGTCACCATCTTGATCGGATACAGGTAACGGAATGATGAGCGAAACATAATAACCCGGATTAATTCTCATGACTTCACTCGCCGGAACCGACCAGTACAACCTCTCGATCTTCCCACAGGGATGTTGAATCACCAACACAGCGGCATCGATGGCCTGACAATTCCCCATTACGACGCAAATCGAAAGAGGAGAAAGATTGAAGAAGAAAAGGAGGGGAAGGAGCAGCCGTCTCTTTCTAGCCAGCTGATACGTACAAATAACAAGAGCGTGAATGAAGCAGGTCGTCCCTCTGCTCATAAACGCCACATTAATAATAATGAGGTTTTAAGGGTTGTTATTAGATTACGATTGTTACTAAATCAAATGTTCATATGTATAAATAATTATCATTGACAACTTTAAGGCATGACGAATTGACACAGGCACTAGGCCTCGGAAAGCGGTACGACCTCCACGTGGAGATTTTTTTACAGAGTCTGTACTAGCAGGCTTAGGTCTTTGGCTGTGGACGAGGTCACATGATCATTCATAGGGATGGCAAACGGGTACAATTTCGTGGATTCCGCACCGCACCCGCTCCAATTGGAGCGGGGATGGGTATAATTTTAGTGGGTAGTGGACGGGTGTGGATTTAGAAAGTGGTATCCGTCGCAGGTAGTGGGCGGGTAATGGGTTTGACACCTTACCCGCCCCGCATCTGCCTGCCCCACATCCGCCCGCCCATCTAAATATCCATTACATTTTGGACATTATGAATTTAGGTGTAATTTTAGAGACTAATTTATAAATCATAATATTGTATAAGATATAACTTGTTATTTAACCAAATATTAGGGATAAGTTAAGTTTATGCATAATTTTTTTTCCTTTCAAACCTCTCATTTTCATTACTGCGCCGATCTTCAAAGGTAGTTTGGGTTCTACGTATTTCTCAATTTTATATGTTAATATCAAGTTTCTGCCGATCTTCAAATGATGTTGGATTTTGTGGTGTTTTTGGTATAAAGGATTCACTGTCTTATGATATTGGAAGGGATTGCATAATAAAATACTCATTTTTTTAGTTAAAATGTCGAAATCTTATATCAATCTACATGCATTGATATTGGTTGAAACAGTTCAAAACTTATCGAAACTGTGGAAACGTACTGAAATTCGGATTGGAATGGAGCTTAGACTACTTGATATCAGTTTAGGGCAAAATGAGTAAGTACTAGTTTTATTTATGTGTTTGTTGCTTATGTATAACTTAAGTTTGCTGTCAAGCGGGTCTAGCCGGGTACATCTCTAGTTGGATAGTGGGTGTGGGGATGGATTTGAGAATGTACCCGCTCGGATTGGAATGGAGCTTAGACTACTTGATATCAGTTTAGGGCAAAATGAGTAAGTACTAGTTTAATTTATGTGTTTGTTGCTTATGTATAACTTAAGTTTGCTGTCAAGCGGGTCTAGCCAGGTACATCTCTAGTTGGATAATGGGTGTGGGGATGGATTTGAGAATGTACCCGCGTGGGCGGGTGTGGATTTGAAAATTTTTACCCATCATGGCTGGTGGGCGGGTGGTGGATTGAAAAATATTAGGTGGGTATGGGGATGGGGGAGGGGGTATCCGCACCCGACCCGCCCGTTTGCCATCCCTAATCATTCATTTGATTTTAGATTTTGTTATAAGATTTTGAAATTTGTTTTATAAAAATTATAAGCACATTATAAATAAGATATAATTTTATATTTGTTTAATCGAATATCATACTTTTATATTTTATTAAAATTAACTAAATAATATAATTGCAGTATTTTCTATAATATAATATCATTATCTTACCTTCTATAATTTTATTTTTAAAATTAATTTTACATTTTTTTAAATCAAACACCTTTTAAATCTATTTAATTTAGTGAATAGTATGCCAGTTTTAAAATAAAAATATTTTCAAAATAGTAATATCGTAATTTTGTTCAGATAACGTACAGTGTCAACAAAGACAACAACAACAACAACAACAAAACCCAATTCCCATATGTATGGGGTAAGGGGGAGGTAGGGTAGTAGGCTGCCCCCAACGCCAGGTTGGGAGTAGCTTCCGTGAAAGACCTCCGACAGTCAGAAAATTAAAAGTATAGATAAAATGCAATGCATGTATAAATAAATACATAGCTAAACAGTATTCATATGCAGTCATTAAAATCATATGTGCGTTTGTAATGGGAATTAATCCCTGTAAAATAATCCCTGCGAAAGAATCTCTGCATATAGACAGAAACATAAGACCCAACTAAATTTAAAAGAGGAAACATGAAGAGAATGATAAACAAACGTCAACGATATCAAGCCCAGTTCCAATCCTTCATAAATACCAATAACAGAAACGTATAAAAAGTAGAAGTCATGGAAATTACTACAAAGGCATTAAAAGAAGACAGAGATGATACACCCTATAGATGTGACCCACACTACGACTACCCTAGTTTTTAGCCTCCATATTTTCCTATGAGAGGTCATGTCTTCGGTAAGGGCTAACTCCATCAAATCAGATCTCAAGCAGTCTTCCCACTTCCTCCTTGGTCGTCCTTTCCTTCTGGCACCGTCGACTGTAATCGACTCTACCCTTCTGACCGCATCCGACGGTAGTCGCCTAAGGACATGCCCAAACCACCGTAGTCTTCCCTCCCTCATTTTTTTGGAAACAGACACCACCCCCAAGGACATCCTAATAGCAGAGTTTGTCGTCATATCCCACAGAGTCCTACCACATGTCCATCGAAGCATTCTCATTTCTGCGGCCTCTATCCTCCTTACGTGATCCTTCTTGGTTGCCCAACATTCTGATCCATACAACAGCGCTGGTCTTATTGCCATTCTATAAAATTTTCCCTTAAGTTTTAGAGGCACCTTCTTGTCACACAAAACTCCAGTAGCGACCCTCCACTTTAGCCATCCCGCCTTTATACGGTGTGTAACGTCGTCATCTACACTCCCATCTTTATGTATCATAGACCCTAGGTACTTGAAACAATCCTTTGATGGGAGAACGTGTCCTTCTATGCATACTTCTACATCTTCATCGTTTTGGTTCCCATTGAAGTTTGAACATAAATACTCTGTCTTTTCAATATTGATCCTTAAACCTTTTTCTTCCAAAGCAGTCTTCCAGGTAGCCAGTCTACTATTCAACTCAGATTTTGTTTCAGCAACTAGGACAATGTCGTCAGCGAAAAGCATACACCATGGTACACCGTCTGGTGTCGCACAAAAGATGTCATCCATAATCAAGGTGAAGATGTAAGGGCTAAGAGCCGACCCCTGGTGGAGTCCGATTTCCACCGGGAATGCCTCGGTGTCGCCAACTGTAGTCCTGACGTAAGAAGTAGATCTACAGTACATATCACGAATTGCCCGGATATAAGCAGTTGGGATCCGTCTCGTTTCCAAAGTCTTCCAGATCGTATCGCGGGGAACGCTATCATAAGCCTTCTCAAGGTCAATGAACACCATGTGAAGATCTCTAGACTTTTCCCTATATTTCTCCATAAGTCGTCGAAGTAGATGAATCGCCTCCATGGTAGACCTGCCTGGCATAAAGCCAAATTGGTTTTCCGAAACCCTAGTGACTTGTCTCAACCTAGCCTCTATCACCCTTTCTCATAGCTTCATGGTATGGCTGAGTAGTTCTTAATATTTACGAATGAATCAATATTTAATTTGAATTAATTAATTAATAGATTAAATATGAGTGATTAATTAAAAAATTAAGTATACAACAGAAAAGCACCCACTTTTTCTTTGAATAGTTTTTTCTTTTTCTTTTTTTATTATCTCTAGTTTCAGGGCTTTTACTTTATTAATCTAGATGGACCCATATTATACATCTGATTTTGATAACTGAGTCTTCTAATAGAGATTTTCTGTATATATATATATAAAAATGGCTGTCCCTTTTTCCCATATGTATGGGGTAAGGGGGAGGTAAGATAGTAGGCTACCCCCAACACTAGATTGAGAGCAGCTTCCGTAAGAGACCTCCGAATTATGAAATGCCCAGATGCCAATTACTGTTAAAAGTAAATATAAGGAATACTTGTCAGCTTTGATTTGGATTTTTTTCTTAATATTTTAACCCTTCTTTTTCGGTAGAACATTACCAGATAAATCAATTTTTCACCTAAGGCTGCTATCTCATACGGAAGTCTTAATATACGATTAAAGAAATAAATTATTATTTTTATTATTTTTTAACATTTATAGTAAAATATTATTATTTTTACTGATTTTGTTATTATTGGACATTTTACAGGTTTTATTAACATGTATGATAAAACGTTACCTAAAACATTATTTTTTCTACCGATTTTGTTATTATTGGACATTTTACCGAAAATATAAAAAAAAATTAATGTTTTAAATAAAAATAATAATGTTTAAAGTAATTTTTTGCCATAAATGTTAAAAAATAATAATAAAACTGATAATATTTGTTAACCGTATATTAATACTATCGTACATTAAAATTTCTTTAATCTCCCTATCTGCTCGTGGGTCTAACTATGAAGGAATCTTTCAGATTGATCAAAATTGTTATTTTAATTGCTTCTTATCAATAAATGTACTGCGTGGTTTGATTAAATTAATTTTTTATTATAAGTTTTTGTCGCACTGTTAATTTGGGTTTCAGTTTCGTCTTTTTCTAAAAAAAATTAAATAATTTTGTAATGAACAAGACTAATTGAAATTTGTATTGTTTAAGTTAATTAAATTTATCATAGAATTCAATGTCAAATATTAAATTTCTCATAGACTAATTGTAGGTTTTTAGCTCTAATTTTCCTTTTCTTTGTGACTGTTAGTTTTTTATTATGATCGGTCCCTCATTAACCTTAGCTTTCGTGTAGATCACTTATATTCATTATTTTTTTTTATTTTTTATTTTTAATAATTCTTCTTTTATAATATGTTTTTTTTTATCTTTTGGTACGTTTTTTTAGTTTTTTTATTATTTTTTTATTATTTTTTTAAGGTTAGATTTGATATCGTTACAATTGATTAATATGACATTTATTTATTAACATGTTGATTTTTCCTACTTTGGACCCTCATATTGATTTGTATATACAATTTACGTTTGTGGATAATTTTCATACATCGTTCGATTTTAATTTATAGTTTTTCGATGGTCTTTCAATAACTTGATATCCTTATATAATTCATTTTACGATGTAGTCAGATCTATTCGTACCTAACTTTTATTTGCGTTTATTT